AGTTGACTCAAAACAGTAATTTGTATACCCATCCAAATCCTTGCCTATTATTTCATCGCGTTGTAAAAATTATGAAAAATTTTTAAAACTTACAAATTTCAAGAATGAAAATTTTGCATATTTTTGGCATGGAACTTTTAAAATATAAATCAATTTGATATTTGCCACCTCATGAAACAAGCAGCAGAGAATTGTCAAGAAAAGGTTTTGGAATATTCTAGAATATATTTAAAAGAAATAGGAGAAAAATTCAATAAATTAAGTGAAGAAATAAAAGAAATTCAAAAAGAAGAAGATTTTAATGAATTTGATTTACAAAATCTAAAAGAAAAACTAAACAAAACTAGTCAAGAATTTATTAATCAATCGAAGATTTCTATTCGACAGAATAATCAAGGTTTTATTACGGAAATATCAATTATTTCAACAAATAGTAAGTCGAAATGAAAAATAAGTTTTGTTTTCAATGAAAAGAAATAATAAGCAATGACCAAATGGTTTATTTGACTATTTTCGATGAATTTTCAAGTAAAAAATTCTTTTCAGAAAATCTTTTTTTGTTTTTCAAATAGATCAGTCAAATATCACATCAAGAAACTCTTGCAATAATTTAACACCACAAATTCCATCAATTCAACAAAGAAGTAATTTTTTTAAGAAATCCATGTTGATTTTTATTTAAGAAAGAAAGTTCATTTTGTAACTCAAACTTAAAAAAAAAATTTTGTTGTTCTTTTTTTGTTTAGAAACGAAATTTCAAGAAACAGGAACCATTGTTGGTGGAGGAAACGGAGAAGGAAATGAATTAAATCAATTGAATTACGCGGAAGGTGTATCGTTTGATTCAGAAGGGAATATTTATATTATAGATAGTGGAAATAATCGAATCGTTCGATTTGATAAAATTAATTAAAATGAACAATTTGAATAAAAAAATGCAAAGATGTTTTTTTATTGAATTCAAAAATGTTTTCTGTAACTTCAATTTATTTATATCCGTTTCGCTCACTGCTGGTCGACCTTGAGGGTGAGGGTGTGGGTGTGAATATAAGTATTTTTCTTCATCCACACTCTAACTTATATAATTCTGTAGATATTTGTGCTATTAAGACAAATTCTTAATCTTGCTACGCTATTAATTAAGAATTTAATTTTATCTTTTTGTTCATATCATGATTTAAGTGTTTTATTTAATTATCTGCTGCTGTTAACATATTTAACGCTCTGAATGAATGCAATGAGAGGAAATCACTGCCTTTTGCGTTCTGTCACATATATTATGCAATTAGACAGGACAATAAAAAAAACGAACATTTTTTCGTTCTGTGTTTCTATCTTCAATCTAGAGACAGCAGTATTCGACTGGTTAACAAGTTGAATATAAAATTTCACCATTCATTATTATTATTATTATTATTATGTCTTATTACATAAAAAATAAAAACAAAAATGTTAAAAGATGTTTCATTATCAGTATTTATGTTTCGATATTTATTTTGTATCTTTAATAGTTGGAAATTTTCAAAAAACTGCTCAACTTTTTCTTTTGGTATTGCCCAATCGTATGTATATACAATTTTGTTTTTCACAATAACAGGTAGTTTTGATTCAACGAGTCGTGATTGATTTGACAGGCTAATGTCTCTTTAATATATGGGTATTATTGATGTTCGTATGTTTGAAAAATACGCATTACTTTCTTAATGCTCTTCTACGTCATCGATATTTATCTAAATTTAATCAATTAACTTGAAGTAAACACGGTTATAGAAGTTTTTAATTATAGATCGATAAATGAAAGACAAAATGATGAGACGTATATATATCACTCAATGATCAAATTGAATGTTTGATGTTGATTGTATTGAATCGAATCGAGTGAGAAAATCCGTATGGGTCCGACTAAATCAATTTTAAATATTTAATTAACATTTTATTCGCTAGTTGGAAAAATCATAATCTTTGATGATAACAAATCGATATTATTTATTCTTCGATACTGAATACAATTGAGAGATTTTAAATTTTTAACCTAGAACATAAATATTCATATCGATTAAATTAAGATAGTTATCGTAACAATATTCTTACTGCTCAAATATAATCACTTATTGATGTAAATTCGTTATACTTAATAACTTTCGTGTGTATAAAACTATCGGTGGAGCTATTTCGATCATGTTCACAGTGTATCACCATCGTTTAATATTTTTCTTCCAGCATTCTCTATAATTATACATTTTCACTGTTAATTACATACCAAAATGCTTACTCTCTTTTCTCATGTGCATATAATAGTTAACCAAAGACGTTCTTTTTTTAGCTGTACAGTATAGGTGGAAAAGGGTCAATATGCAAATATAAATGCGTATGTAACATAAACATGAATAATCTCATCAAACTATTTATTACTGAAAGTTACACGAAAACAATGTAGGGTGAGCGTAAGGATGTTCAGAAACTCTATATGGCGACTACAGAAGCCATTTGAGAATTTGTAGAGATGAACAAGCTGATTATTTTGATATAAATCCATCTTATATCTGAAGCTAGTTTAACCTAGAATGATCCCTAATATATATGGTGAAGCCGTTAGAAAACACATCAAATCGAATTTTTCACAAACAGTACGTTTCTTATTTTATGACCATTACAAGTAAACAGAAAAACAACTCGCTATACACCATCTGATGACCCATCTTATACTTGCTTCATCGAACCAGATAAAGAAAGAATAATATTAAAATGAGAAAACATATTCTATTTCATTTACGAAATCAATTCTTTTAATTCTAAATAAGTAATCTTTGTATTCAAGAATGAAATAATATTATTTTTTTCCTTTCGAAAAGTATATATTTGAAAGTTTTCGAAAAATTTATTGATATAAATTTTTTATATAAAGAAAGTCTTCATCTATCATAAATTTATCTCATAATAAATACGTAGTTGTGAATATTAACGATAAAATCTTCTTTTGTTATTATATCTACTATATACGTCAATAAAAACTAAAAATAGTTATAAATGACCTTCGTTTTTATACAAAATTTATTTATGTCCTCGATTATTTTTCGTTCTCTTTCTCGAAGAAAAACTTGGTATTTAAGTACGAAAATATTTCTTTCATTTAATATACATCGTTGTGTTTGCTAATATTACATTATACAAATATGATTTATAATATGAAATTAGTTTATATGGTAACAATTTTTGTTATATTAATATTAATGAATAAACAAGTTTTTGGTAAACCTTATGAATCCGATGAACATCAACTCGGTTCGCGTGAAACAGTTGATAGATCAGTTCGTAAATCTGAAAAATGTGCCGGTCGTGGAGAAAGTTGTAGTGGTGGTCGTAAATGTTGTTCTAAACGTAGTTGTGAATATATTGGTTTTGGTCCCGTTGTTATTTATTATTGTTCATAACATATCTAAGTAAGATATATATAATAATGATAATATTAAACAAATTTAATTCTGAAAAATTATATTATTAATTTATCTATTTTTTAGGAAATATCATTCATCAATATCAATATCATTGCCATTTTCTTTGTTTTTCAAAATTATAAATAATCAACAAAATCAAACTACTCTTTTCTTTTCGTATTATTCTCTATTATAACCTCTTTGTTCGTTATTTCAAAAAGAAGATAATTTTAAAGATGTTTTAATTAATACTTTGTATTTCTATTTAATTCATGAGATAAATAGTCTTTTTTTCTCAATTAGTCCATATAGAATAAATAACGCTCGTCGAGACGGACTCGCATTACCCTCGACTGAAACGATTCATATGTAATAATCAATTTGCTATTGTTTTTTCATTTCATATAAGAGAAAATGTTTTCCAATATGAAGTTTATTTATTTGTTTTTCAATGAAATAAAGACAAATTGATGGTATAATAAACAACTACATGAAAGAAAGCAAATAATTTTTTGTATTAGTTCTAACTAAATCTCTAAAGAAGTCAAAATATGAATAAAATATAATGCGAGTATGAACAAGAAGCGTGGAACGAAACATAATAGTAACGGTAAAATTGAAAACNATTGAACCTACATTTGTACCATCGAATCAAGGTGTTGATGGTGAATATGAAGTAGATGATATCGACGATTTGATTCAACTAATAGGCAGTGTAGATGAATTTACAGCTGCTGCAATTAATGCCACAAAAAGATCAACAGAAAATGTGTATATACGAGAAACAGTTGAAGCTGTCGAAAAAGTTGGACGTTTCAATCACAAGAATCGTAAGTGTTAATTGTTTTATGACTCATACCATTCAGAAAAAATTGTTTTAGAACAAACTCAACATGTTTCAAATACAAGCAATGATCGACAAATTGTACCTTTTGTTTCTGCAACGTCTAATCTAATTAAACTTAATTCAAAATGGCAAGATCAGCTGAAGATTGAAAAAGAACGAATTAGACGCAGTTTGATTTCGGGCAAAGATAACAATGATGATGATATATTGCATTCTGATGATGTAACTAACGCCGTTGTAACGGTAGTCAATCCATATGATAATCGGAATAATTTCGAAAAAAAGACATAAATTCCTCCAGTGCTCGTAGTTAAAAACAATTACTCAACTCAAACTAGCATCATTGCTGAATTTACATTGAACAAAGAACAAAAAGCTGCATTCTTGATAATAACAAATCATCTCGATGGTGATAGTCGATGTCGTACAGGTATTTTCATGAAATAAATCATTATTTCTTTCATTCAAAAATCTATTTTAGGCGACAATAATGGTCAACTCATTATGTGTATACCTGGTTGTGGTGGAACGGGCAAATCACAATTGATTCGTGCTCTTACAAAATATTTTCTTGTTACAAAAAGAATGCAAATGATGCGAAAACTTGCACCTACTGGAATCGCAGCTGCTGAAATTGATGGCATGACAATTCATTCATTTTTGGATGAACAACGTAGTTCACGAAAGCCACGTACCATCAAACCAGGTGATTCCAAACTTGAAAACGAATGGAGACCGGTTGAATATCTGTTAATTGATGAAATGAGTATGGTTGGCTTAACTTTATTAGGGAAACTCAATAGAATTATGTGTTCTGCCAAACATGTCGATCCACAAGTTCCATTTGGTGGTGTGAACGTCATCTTCTTTGGTGATTATTTACAATATCGACCAGTCTATGATTCACCATTGCATACTGATTTCTCATCATCGTCATCAAAAAAGAAACAAGGAAAAATACCATCTGAAAAAGAAATTCAACAGCGTGTTTCACGTTCTTTAATTCTTCAAATGAATTGTGTGGTCAAACTTACACAGCAGATGCGAACAGAAGATTTACGATATCTTCAATTACTCGATCGGCTTCGTCATGGACAATGCAATTATGACGATTATGAATTATTGCAGACACGAGTTGTTGGACAACCATCAATAGAATCTCTGCATGATTCGCCATGGAACAAAGTAAATAAACTTTTTTCACACAAAGAAAGATCTATTTTAATCTTTTTTAGGCTCCTATTCTCGTGTTCCGAAACGAAGTTCGCACACAAATAAATAACAAGGCTGCTATTCACAATGCAACACAAATGGGTCATCCACCGATGATATGTGTTGCTCAAGATACATGTAAAGGCAAAGCAATCGAAGATCCAATATTGCTTAAAAAATTATTAGAATTATCTGATAGCAAGACAGAGCATTTACCTGGTCTATTACCTTTTGTACCAGGTATGCCTGTCATTTTAACGCAAAATATTGCTACTGAATTAGGTCTTATCAATGGCATAAATGGAATATTTCGACAATTAGTATATCATGAAGATTCGGTAACAACAGAAAATGTATCAGAAATGTTCCCGAATAATACACAATATATTCGTCGACCAATATATGCTTTAATTGAGATTGTTAAATCGAAGATAGAATGCAAACTTCAAGATCTTCAACCGAAACTTATACCAATTCCACTTGTAGAACAAACATTTCAAGTTGACGTTGCTGATCTTATTCCAAAAGATAAGAAACCCAAATCCAATCAAAAGACAATTTTATCCATCAAACGATCTGCATTACCACTTATGCCTGCTTATTGTATCACAATACATAAAAGTCAAGGTCAAACATTGAGTAAAGCGGTTATTGATTTAAAATTACCAAATGAAACGGATGATATTGCAGCAGTCTACGTGCCATTATCTCGTGTAAAACGTTTGGCTGATCTAGCGATTCTGCGGCCATTCGATCAAAAAGTTTTACTTATGAAACCAAATAAATCTCAAGTTGCTGAAATAGAACGACTTGATCAGCTATGCGTGAAGACACGACTGCGTTTCTCAGAATGGTTTCAATAAGTGTGTCAAGTTACAAAGATACTACTCATTATTATTGCGTAAGTTGACTGTAAATAATTAGCTTTTTCAAAGATTCTTTTATAGTTTAATATTCTTTAAAGTAGATCTTCTCCTTTGTTGATTATATTATACACGATATGTCATAGATATCAATTTCTGTTTATGTTCATTTTTATTTACTTTGGTCATATATAAAGCAACTTTCTGTTGTGTAGTTGATTATAAAAGTTTTAAAAATAAATGTTCTTACTTGCATCTCAAATTAATACATTATTTGAATTTGTTACAAAGTGACTTATAGAATGGCAAGTTAGGAAAAAAGAGCTGTAACAAGTATATAAAATTACTGTTCAAGTTAATACCAGTGATGGCATCAACAGAAAACACAATTCAATATAAACATTCAGTCGAGGGTTAAGCGAGGCTGCCTCGACGAGCGTTATTTATTTATAAAATGCACTAACAAAATCGTATAAGCACACATTATCGAGAGTTCCTGATCGATACTGATAATCAATCCTTCCGTTAACTAGCACGAAATCGTTTCCATTTTCATTTTCGACAGATTGAATTTAAAAATTTTCTTCATTATCATTTTCATCGTTAGGCACATTATCATTGCGTTCATCATAATCCATGGCATTTATGTGTGAAAAAAGATAAGATAGCTTTTGTTGATTTGATTTTTATGATCATATTTCTCCGCGTTCCCATTAATAAGAGAAGAATTATACTGGAATAGCTCCGTTCATTCCGTGTCACTTATCTACGTGATATATTTGATGTACCAACAATGCTTTAGGACAGCTGGATACCATGTTAAGTATATCTGATAATGTCTTCTTATGCGATGACCGTATGTTCTTCTTTTCCTTCCTCTCACTCTCATTAATTGTTTATATAACAAACGTTTCTTCTCTTTCTTCCATTCTCCCGCTCATCGCAGCATGTATATTATGTCTTGATTGATTTTTTTCTCTCTTTCTTTTTCTTTTCTTTCTCCCCCTCTCTCCCCCTTCTCTCTTCTCTCTATCTCTCTCTTGGCATCTGAACATAGAAGGAGAAGAATTCTCATATGAAAAGAAAAATGCAAGTATAAGAGAGACAAATGACGAAACAGTCATATTGTTACCATATGAATCTCTTTCTAAATTTCGTTTGACACGTAATTCATTCAATTCTGTCTGTAAGTATCTTTCAGTTTGAATTAAATAAAGTCCTTGGAATTTGTGTGTCGTATAATGATCGTCCCAATTCATAAGATACGAAGCAACTTGCGCTCCAGATAACTCTTGTTGAGACGCAAGTGTATTATAGCAACGTAAAACGAATTTACGTGATCTTTCGATAGCATTGTCTGTATTATCCGCTTGATTTGATATGTCTCCGAATGATGCAACATTTTTTTGAATAAGAGAAAATGTGTCGTGAAAAGAAAGACTGGATTTTGTCACATAATCTGTAATATAATAGACAAGAGCTTTGGCATCGCTGCCTGTCCAAATAAACTTGATGTCCATGTTAGAACGACATGCTGATATGATATATTCATTATAATTATTGATCATCGGATG